ACACCATCTAGATGATGCCCTCAGGGCCTGCCCAGACCCCAGTAAACTTAGAGATCTTAAAGTAGTCAGCACCTGCATTTATCAGGTGTTTCTTGTTCAGGTGACGAATCAGGAGGCCAGGAACTTATTTTTATTATTATTATTATTATTATTGTTGTTGTTGTTGTTGTTATTATTTTGTACTCAGGATTGAACCTAATGGCACTTCACCAATGAGCCCTTTTAAATTTTTTTTGATTTTAAGACAAAGTCTCACTAAGTTGCTAAGGTTGGCCTTGAACTTTTGATGCAATTGCCTTAGCCTCCAGAGTCAGTGTATCACTATACTAGCCCAGACATTGATCTTTAAGTAAGGAGCAGATTTTTTTTTTTTTTGTACTGGGGATTGAACCCAGGGCCATTTAACCACTGAGCAACATCCCCAGCCTTCTTTTCTTTTATTTTTTTTTACTTTGAAACTTGTCTTGCTAAGATGCCAAGGTTGGCCTTGAACTTGTGAGCCTCTTGTCTTAGCCTCCCTAATCATTGGGATTATAGGCGTGCTCCAGCACACCCAGCAACAAGCACTTTTTGAAATATTATTATTTTCCAGGAGCTATTCTAGGATTTTAGAGACAATAACTTAACATTTTAAAAGTAATAGTAAAATTGGCTTTTTTAGGTGTATTTATTAGTTGATCTATGACTTTTAACAAAGATATACATTTTTGTAACTACCACTATAGTCAGAACACAGAATAATAGAATATTTCTTCCCCCTCTCCTAATTCTTTTTTCGTTTTGTTTTCTGGTGGTGCTGGGGTTTGAACCTAGGGGTACTTCATCATTCAACTACAGCCCCAGCTCTTTTTATTTTTTTAAAAAATTTTGGTTTTGGATACTAGAGATTGAACTCAGGGGCACTCAACCAATGAACCACACACATCCCCAGCCCTATTTTGTATTTTATTTAGAAACAGAGTCTCACTGAGTCGCTTAGTGCCTTGCTAAGTTGCTGAGGCTGGCTTTGGACTTGCTATCCTCCTGCCTTAGCCTCCTGAGCTGCCCTACTTATTATTCTTTTAATTTTTAGACAGGGTCTTCCTAAGTTACTTAGGGCATCCCTAAGTTTTTAGAGCTGGCCTTGAACTTGTGAGCCTCCTATCTCAGCCTCCTGAGTGGCTGGGATCATAGGTATGTGCCACTGTGCTTAGCAGAAAGAAAGTTTTGTCTTCTAGAGTCTGTGTGTGTCTGTGTAGATACATGTTTAAAAATGTGACCGCACGAATACCACGCAGCCATGGAAAGCGAGGCTGTGATCCCTTCATTCAACAAGTATGATTGGAACCCCACGATGTGCCATGTTGTTCTAGGCTCTGGGGATACATCGGGGAAGAAAACAGACAAAACCAACGCACTGGTAGACTACGTTCCATTAGACAATCAATAAACACACAGATTAGTTAATCATGCGGTATAACAGAAAGCAGGGAGGGCCAGTGGAAAAGCAGAGAGGGCGGGAAGACTGGAGACTGGGCACTGTGGCAACAGCCAGGGTGGGTGTGGAGGCACAGAGGACAGAGGCTGGCAGATTGGAAGGGCATTCAACAGAACTGGAGCTCGGAGCCAGAGGCAGAGGGGAGGTCCAAAACTGAATCCAAGACAGAGAGACAAAGTGACTGAGAGGCACTATTTTTGCTAGTCAGGCTACATGGATTTTAAGTTTCTGTTGACAGTGGATTGCCTGGAGCTCAGTAGAGAAGCAAGTGACAGAGAAGGGTCAAGGTGAGGCCTCTGAGTAGCACAGATGATAGAAAAGGTTCTTGGAGGCTGGTGTTGGTGGGAGGGACATGGGAGCGGCTGTCCTGAGAACAGATCCTCCAAGATCCCTAGTGGACTTGGGGTTGGGCAAGGGCCACAGTCCTCTGGGTAACTGTGGATGAAGATGAGAGTTTCCAGAGTTGTGTGCCTGCTCTCTCTTCTTTTTAAAAATGTACTAAATTAATGTTTTATAGTTTGGGTGCTGATTCTTAGACACCAATTCTAGTATCAGGAAGACTGACACAAAGCCATCTGCTTGGCAAACTGGGGAATATGGGTACCATCCTTGGATTTCCTACAGCTTTGCTTTCAAAAGGGTCTCGCTGAGTTGCTCAGGGCCTATATTGCTGAGGCTGGCTTTGAATTTATGATCCTCCTGCCTCAGGCTCCCCATCTGCTGGGATTACAGTCATGCGCCACCGTGCCCAGGAAGTCACAGTATTGAACTCAGGGACACTGGACCACTGAGCCACATCCCTAGCCTTAATTTGTATTTTGTTTAGAGACAGGGTCTCACTGGGTGCCTCACTGTTGTTGAGGCTGGCTTTGGACTTGTGATCCTCCTGTCTCAGCCTCCCAAGCCACTGGGATTACAGGCATGCACCATGGTGCCTGGTTAAGCCACAGTCTTTATAAGTAAGAGAACATTTATGCTCAGGACAAAGTGAATGTGCTTGCATTGCCATAAGCACTATCACCATAGCCATTATTTCCCTGGGCTGTGGCCAATAATGAAGGTAGGTAGAGAGTTTTCAATGGACCAATAAACAAGGAATCCTCATCTCAATCAGAGAGCAGAGCCACAGCCTAGCTGCTGCTCACATTCCGGGATTTTCTGCTCTTTTCTAGCACACCCCCTCATCCAGAGGAAAGCTACATGTCAGCTCCACACGGTTACAACTGGAAGTTGTTCTTGGATTAAACATGTGTGGGACATTTGCAGCTATGAGGCGTGTGGGCATGGGTGTGTCCACCACCATCATCTCTTGGCTAGATTATTGCAGTTGGTTTCTAATGGCTTCCCTGCTTGCCCTCCACCCCCAGTCCACTCTGATACAGCAGGCAGAGTGCTTCTTCTAGAATGTAGGTCACACTTTCATCCAAACCCCTCATCTCATTCTGAGAAAAAGCCATAGTCCTTACAGCAGCCTACAAAGCCCCCCTACATGATCCCACCCTCAACTGCCTCCCTAGTCTCATCTCCTAACTCTCCCTGCTGCTCACTCCACTCCAGCCATGTGGGCCTCTTGCTACTCCCCCACTGCCACTCAAGGCCTTTGCACTTACAGTTTCCCCTCCCTGCAACACCCTTCTCAAGGTAGACTCATGGTTTGCTACCTCACTTCTTTCAAATCTCACCTTACCAGGGAGCCCTTCAACAACCACCCTGCATAAAATAAGTCTCCCCCACTGGCACTCTCCAGCTCCTTCACCTTCATGGTTTAACATTTAGCATCAGACTTACACATGCTCAGTTGTTTTATTTCTGTTTCCTGTCACTCTACAGGCCCATAAGGGCAAGGATTTTGCCTGTTTGTTCTCTGTTCTATCCCTGTGTCTAGAACAGTTTTAGGTACACAGTAAGGGCCTAATAAGTGCTTTTTTCTTCCTTTTTTTCTTGTGTTAAGGATCAAACCCAGGTCCTCATACATGCTGGGCAAGCACTCTGCCACTGAGCCACATCCCCAGCCAGTGAATCAGGACTGACTTTCTTGCTGCACAGCAACCACCTGCTGTCTGAAGGGCCCTGAGCATGAAGGCCTTGCCTGAGGGTTGAATGCAGTGGAGCAGCACTGCTCAGTGCTGAGGCATCTGAGAGGCCCTGTGTGTGAGGGGGTGGCAAAGCGAGTGCAGGTGGCAGGAGGCAGATGGCGGGGTGCAGAATGCCAAGTCTAGCTGGGCATGGTGGCACACGCCTGTAATCCTAGCCACTTGGGAGGCTGAGACAGGAGGATCGCAAGTTCAGAGCCAGCCTCAGCAACTTAGCAAGGCCCTAAGCAACTCAGAGAGACTCTGTCTCTAAATAAAAAATTAAAAGGGCTGGGGATGTGGTTCAGTGATTAAGCGTCCCTGGGTTCAATGCCTGGTATCAAAACAAAAAGCCAAAACATGTGTGCACGTGTGCACGTGCACACACACACACACACACACAAAAAAAAACAAACAAAACAAAACAAAAAAAAACCACCAAACAGAATGCTAAGCCTTTTGACATGAGTGGCATGGGCCACTTGATATGAGTCGTCCTAGTGAATGGTTGTCTGGGGTCCAGGTTCATGGTGTTCCTGACCTGGGTGGACCCAGGTGCTTTGAGGATGGGGACCAAAGGAATCCCAGTGATTCTGCCTCCCTACTCTTTAAGGACAAGTTGGAGGCAGGTCTTGGTCTCAAGTCTACAATAACAATTGTTTCTAAAGTTTCTCTCCTCATAGATTTCAGCCCCTCAGCCTGAGACATGTCTCATGGCGACTGAGTCATGCGTCGATGAAGGTGGTGGGCATGTGGGTGGTGGGTGGCTGGGCCCATCGATCCAGGGCTGAGACATTCTTTCCATTAGTCAACAGGTTAATAAATTCTCTGATGAGGAGGTGGTGATTAATGAGCCAATCAGTGTGCCCTGTAATTGGGGAGTGGAGCTGGGGTTATGATGGATGGGAAAGGCTTGTGAGGATGTGGGAGGCAGGCTCCTGATCCACACTGAGGGACCACCTCAGGCCCCACTGGTTTTTACTTTTAAGGTACATGAGGAAGTGACTTCTTCAGAGGTTGTGCAACGAATGTGGGCCTTCTCCTGTGTCCTCTACCTTCTCACTCTTCTCCTTTCCTCCTGTTTGTCCTCAGGCCCTGCAGTCCCCAAGACTTGAGCAGGTTCCAGGGATGTCAGATTTTCTGTGTGCTCCTTACAAGCTCCTTCACCTCTCTCCTCCAAGTTTAGCACCAAAGAAACCTCCTTCACCACCCTGGCTAGTGCCGCGAGGTCAAAGATCACCCCCACCCCCACACATCCTTGCCCCTTCAGCAGGCGGGTCCCTGTCTAGAGCCTGACCCTGGGGTCACAGCTGTCTTTGGATGTATGTGATGCTGGGGATCTGAACCCAGGACTTTGTACTTCACAGCTGTCTTAACCAGTCCTCTGGCTTTGGTCATTCCATGAAGAACTAGAATTCTTTTATTTCTACTGTCTCCTCTCCAATCTGGGCCCAGGCTTATCCCTGTGTCTGTGCTCTGGGAACTCCTCCAATGGGATTTTGAGGGATAGTTGAGTGCCTTCCCCACCCCAAGACTAGGGCTCCCCAGTGATCAAACTGTGCCCCTCACCTCAGACTGGGGGAACTCAAAGATAAACCCTTGACTCTTCTCTGTCACTAGGGCTCTTGGAGGACAAAGCTGGGCTCCCTAAGAATGATTTTTCTCTTCCCTCTGAAGGTAGGTTCCATTTCCCCTTGTCCCAGTGTCTCCTTCCATTTCCATGCTTGGCAAGTGCCCTGGTGTTTCTTGGTTGTAAGGGGCCCTTTGGGCTTGAATAGCTGATAAGGAGCCATTTCCGGAGAGTGCAGGTGACTGAACCCATAAAAAGGCAATTGAGGGATCCCTGGACACTTCCTCTCAGGAGAACTCTAAAAATAGCACCCACAGCCATCTGTCCTGGGGAGTGGAGGGGCTGGCCCAGAATGAGGGGCCTGGACAAAATGACTCCTCTTGCCTCAATGGACTGATGAAAATGGGGTATCTACAAGGCTCTGGCCAGGCCTCATAGAGGGAGCTGGAAAGAGCTTTATGGGGAGACTCCCTAAGAGACCTTTCTCTTCCTGGGGGTAAGGTGGGTCTGATGGGTTGGCAGTCTGGGTGCTTCCCCGACCTAGACCTCTCAAAGTGGGTGGTGGCCCAGACAGCCTCCTATCTCCTGCTCTCATGCCTGACTCTGGAGCTCAAGGTGCAGAACCTGTTTGCCCTCAGGATTGAGGGGACTTCTTGGGGTCTTCCCCACCCTCTTCCTGTATTACCATCACCTCTCAGAGTTTCAGTTTTCTCACCTGGAAAATGCAGATGAACTCAGTTCATGGTACTGTTATACCAAAAATGCTATCCTCCCTAGCACACAGGAGGTGCACAGTTAATGGTAGTCCTTTCTTATTTCCTTCAAAGGCTCTGAGTGAGAATATCGACCCCAAATCCCAGTGAAAGCTATAATGGGCTGGGGACAGTGGCATATGCTTGGCAGCTTGACATCACTCAGCCAAAGAAAACACCAGGTATCCTGAATGACATGGAGATGGGGTTGGGGGCTCTGCCTTGGGAGGGGGCTCTATGGAGGGCCCAGCTGGACCAGAATCTGTATGTGCCAAGCTGGATGTAGAGGTGGCTCATTCAGCTGTTTCTGCCTCCTACCTCTGTCCCCAACTCTTAATTCAGAATGGATATAATGGAATATCCAGAGAGGCCTCTCCCCAAGAACATCATAAGCAGCAGGTCAGGAGCGACGGTCATAAGCTCCTACCCTGACTCCAGAAGAGACTTTCCCCCACAGGGTCCTGTCACTCCTGGACCCTTATCAAAGGCATTGGCAAGCAGAAGCTGAAGATAAAGGCCTCCTGGAAGGAGCAGCCACGGGTTCCACAGGCTGGAGGAGGCCTGTCCTCCCTCAGGTTCCCCACTCCCACCTAAGGACAGGGTAGGGAAGATGGACTCACATCCTTGGTCCTAGGGGCTACCCCAGGAGTCTAGATCCGAAGGCCTCACATCTTTAGGGGGCTAGACCTGCCACTGGGGGGCTGTGGGGTGAAAACAGGGTTTAGAAGAGGCAACCAGTCTGGTGGGACCCTGAGTCTGAGCATGGCAGCTGCCTCCTTAGCTCCTGCGAGGTGGAGACATCACGTCCTGGCTGGCTGTAAACTCTGCGAGTGGCAGGGGTGGAGGAAAGAAGGAGGAAGGGCCCTCCCCTGCCTGCTCCCCCTCCCCTCGGACTCCCCCTCCCTTTCCAGGCCGATATAAGCCCCGCGGGGAAAGCGCTGAGCAGAGGCCGCATCTCCACCTACAGCAGTCGTGTCCTCGGGACTGCCTGCACCTTCCATCTCCTGCTCATCTCGCCTTGGGAGCTATCGCTGTGAGTGGCTGGGGATCAGGAATGGTCTGGTAGTGAGTTATTTTGTGGGGGAAACTGAGGCCAGGGTGGTGGAAGCTGGGGCTGAGTGGTTGGAAGGGGGCCAATAGAGGTGAGAAGGAGGGTCTGGGAATCGGCTGCCAGTAGAGATCTCTTCCTTCTTCTATCACCTGGGCAGCAGCGGGAGTGGGGAGGCAGACAGGACTTATGACTCTGGCACAGGAGGAAACTGAGGCCAGAGACGGTGCGGTGCCCGAGAACACAGAGAGAGTGGCTGAACCCTAGCCCAGTAGGGCCACCGGAGCGTGGGCCCGACGGCAACCACTGCCGCAGCCTCCCACGGTCGAGGCTCAGGATGCCCCACGCTCCAATGCTCCCTTTCCAGATGGTGACCGTGCGCAGGCCGTCGCCCGCTACGGTCGCAGTGCTGCTGGCCCTCCTCGCCTGCTTGGGAGCGCTGGTCGACGCCTACCCCGCCAAACCCGAGGCCCCGGGCGAAGATGCCTCCCCGGAGGAGCTGAGCCGCTACTACGCCTCCCTGCGCCACTACCTCAACCTGGTCACCCGGCAGCGGTGAGCGCTCGCGCGGGGCGTGGCCGTGGGCGTGGGGGCAGAGCCTCTGGGACTCCGCCCTTCGCCCCGCCCCACTCCACCCGGGGCCTAACCACGCCCCTTGTGACCCCGCCCCCAGGTACGGGAAACGCGACAGCTCGGACGCCCTTTTCTCCAAGCTGCTGTTCCCCGACGTCGATGACCGCCCTGTCAGGTCGCGGTAAAAGCGTTCCTCTTACCACACACGGGCCTCTGGAGCATGGCCCGGCCCACCGGACCTCGCCCTGGCACCCTCACTTAAGACTTGCCCGGGCCTCGGCCTCGGCGCTCCAGACGCGATTCCTTCCCCTTCCCTCCTGTGGGCCAGAGGAGCCTACCCGTGCAGAAGACCCCAAGGCCTCCGGGGAGCTATGCTAACTACACTCACATCATGTGCATATTTGGTTCTGGGTAGGGCCCTCCGGCCACTTCTCTGTGTCCCCCGGTATCGTATCGGGGCCTGAGGGCTGTGTGTGGTCCATCCCTTGTCCCCAAATAAAGAGCAAATTTCACAGAAACTGAATGTGTGCGTCTGTTTCCTTTCCCTTCTCCTTCAAGGAGGTGGCCTCGGTAGGAGAAGAGAGTGGAGGTGCAAGATCAGGGAGAAGACTCGGAGCCCAAGAAAAAGGCGCCCCAGGACTAGGCTGGGGTGGGGTGGGGTTCCCTGTGCTAGTAGCTGAGCATAGATAGTCACTGCTGCTATTCTGGGGCTGGACAGCGCCCAGACAAGTGACCTCTGTGAGAGGAACTCCAGGCAAGGCGGGCATGGGAGAGGGGTGGATAGGAGCTCCAGAGAAAAGAACAAGAAGAGTCGCTGGAGACGGAGAGGTGGAGAGGAACATGCTAGGCAGCCTAGGAGGGTAACCTGGGACATAGAACCCTCGCAGGGTAAAGATGAAGACTGGCATAGGGCCTCGCAAGATACCAACACTCTAGGATTGTCCCCCTGCTCCCCTTAAAAGTGTACTACTAGTCTCCGGGGCTGCAAAGTCTCGAGGTTAAGTAAGATGGGATCAAGGATGGGGGTGGGGAGGAAAAAACATTTGTGGGGTGAAGTGGGTGTGCCAGCTGTAGAGGTAGATCTAGAGCTCAAGAGCACGCCTGTAATTCTTGCGGCTCAGGAGGCTGAGGCAGGAGGATTGTACTTCATGCCAGCCTCAGCAGTTTAGCCAGGCCTTAAACAACTTGCAGAAACCCAGTCTCAAAATAAAATTAAAAGGGCTGGGGGTGCTGGGGTTGTGGCTCAGTGGGAGAGAGCTTGCCTAGCATGTGTGAGGCCCAGGATTTGATTCTCAGCACAACATATAAATAAATAAATAATAAAGGTCCATTGACAACTAAAAAAATATTTTTAAAAAGGCGGGGGTGGGGCAGGGACTGGGGTTATGGCTCAGTGGTAGAGCACTCCTCTTGCATGTGCAAGGCCCTGGGTTCTATCCTTTGCACCACATAAAAATAAATAAATAAAGTTATTTAAAAAAAAAGGTGTGGGGGGGATGTAGCTCAGTGGTAAAACACCCCTGAGTTCAATTCCCTGTACTCCCTCCCCACAAAGAAAATCACTTCTAAGGAAACTGTCACCTGAGTAGAAGGAACAATGAGAGTGTGGAGGTCACTTTTTCCCTCAAAACCCTCCTCCCCACTTTGTTGAATGCACACACAGTGCATGAGTCACTAACTGTGCCTTTCTGGTGACAAGACTTTAGGGATACCTTCCAGTCCCCTCCACCCCATGGGTGTTTCAACTGGACGATAACCTGATCCCCAGACACCCTTCCTTCTCAATTCATTCTCCCAGGAAGCCTGCCTTGGTTGGCCCTGACCTGTACTCTTTCTCTCCTCTCTGGTCACTGAACTCTCATGGCTACTACTCTGTTCACTAAGAGACCTACCCATGTCTCTGTGTCCTCCCTGCACCCCACCTCTATGGTCTGAGGGCCCCTTAAAGGAAGGGCCTGTCTGTGGGCTTTCTCCTGAACCTCCAGTTCAGCAGGATCTGCCTAAGTCCAAGGCAGGTGGCTGAGGAATGAGAGGGAGAATCAGGCTGAAGACAAGTGTCCAGACTCAGACAGGGTAAGAAAGGCAGGAAGGCTGGGTGGCATTACTGGGGCATAAGGGCCTTGCAGACCTGTTTGCAGACAGGTGACCCTGGGAGGTGAGAAGACTCTAGACCTGGCTCTGCTCTGACACAACCTGCACTAGGGGGCCACCCTCCCTGGTGCTGTCCCCCAGCCTTTCTTGAGGTAGGGCCAGCTGTGTGGGACAGAGGACGCTGGTCCAGGGGCTGGAACAGGCCCTGGACTGTATGGATTCTGATGCTTTGCCCTGCAGGGAAAGCCCTTTCCTTCTCTTTAGCCTAAAATACACCTTCGGGTAGATGTTGCCTCCCAGAAGCCATTTTTGTTTCTCAGGATGGAGTTTGTCTCTCTAGCTTCTCCATTTTGCCATTTCCTGAGGTCCATTCCCATCCTACTTCGTTTCTTGTCTTCTCTCCTCTGTACCAGCTGGGGCAGATGGGCATGTGCAGTGGCGGCTTGAGCTTAAGTTCATGTGTAGTTGAAGATCCAGGGGAGTTGGGGGGATGTATCTGTGTGTAGGTGTCCACGATCCTCTGTCTATTGGTCTATTTGGGAGAGCTGTGGGAAGTTTGAGGCTAATGGAAGAGAACTAGTATGAATTATATTCATAGCTGCAGACAGTTTCTGCTCAGATAAGTCGGTTGACCACAGTACCTACACATGGCCTCTCTAACATGAGGCTTTCGGAGTAGTTGAACCTGTGTGAGTGCTCCATGATTGCCTTTTCATGCAGTAGTCCCCTCTGTCTTCAGGGATAGGTATCAAAACTCCCAGTGGATGTCTGAAGCCACTGATAGTACTGACAATCTAGTGTGTACATTGTTATTTCCAGTACATACATGCCTATGATAGTTTAATTTATAAATTATGCACAACAAGAGATTAAAAACATTAAGATAGAATAATTATAATAGTATTCTATAATAAAAGTTATGTAAATGTGGGTCTCTGTCTCTGAAAATAGCTTATTGGACTGTACTAATTCTGCTTGTGACCCTGTGAGATGGTAAGATGCCCGTGTAATCGGGTGAAGTGGGTGGATGATGTAGGCACTGTGTGGCAGCTTTAGGCTACTACATAAGGGTTACTTGGACAGAAGTGCTGTGATGCCTCTATAGCCTCTCTGATAACCCAGAGAGCTACTGAGTGACTAACAGGCAGTGTACACTACTTGGATATGCTGCATAAAGGGATGATTCACATCCTGGGCAAGATGGAGGTGCACAGTATAAGATTTTGTCAGGCTACTCAGAGTGGCATGCAATCTAAGATGGATGAATTGCTTATTTCTGGAAATTTCCATTTAATATTTTTGGAACTTGATTGACTGCAGATCACAGAACCCACAGAAAACAAGATAAGTGGGGGGTCTACTGTATTAGTTTCATAGAGCTGACATAAAAAACCAAACGGGAGGGTGAGGGAGGTAGTTCAGTAGTAGAGCCCTGGCCTGGCATATGCAAGGTCCTCATTCCATCCCCAGCACAATAAGTCAAACAAAACAAGAAAACTGGGGTATTTAAAGGACTAGGGGCTAAACGTCTGAAATCAAGCTGTCATGCTAGCAGGGTTGATTCCTTTGGTGAAGAAGGGGGCAAGGATCTGTTCCAGGCGTCTCTTCTGGGCTCGAAGTTCCTCTATGCATACCTGTTTCTGTGTCCAAATTTCACTCTTTTTAAAAGGACACCACCTATATTGGATTAGGGGCAGATGGAGTCTCTAGGGTAAAGGGAAGTGTTGACAGGGTCTAGACTTAAAATTAGTGTCCTGAGCCCCAAATCAGGATAAAGTAGCTCCTGAGGGAGTAGGATGAGGGGTTTAAGGTGTTTGTGTGAATTTCTCAGCTATCCTTAGCCCAAGGGCTTCTCCAGGGGTTAGGGGATCCCATGGGTACCGGAATCTGAGGTGATTCTGACAGGGTACCCAACCTACACCCTGCTGCTGCCACACAATTTGGAAATAAGACATTGGCCTAAGAGTTGGACCTGGCTCTGGTCAGCAGAATTGTCCTGGTAATCTGGATAGAGTGTAGCCTCTGGCACCACGTGGACCTGGGTTTAGTCCTGATCCCTCCTGCAGTCTTAGGCAACCTCAACTGCTTCTCCGAGCCTTGGTTTCCTGCCTCCTTCACCAGGTAATAAAGGAGCCTATTAAGATGACCTGTAAGAAAGGTCTTGGGGGAGGTGCTGGCTCACTGGCTGCCACAGCCAGCTCCTCTCCTTTTCTGACAATGTCCTCATCTTTCAACAAAACAAAACAAAACAACAGCAACCCAACCCCCACCTACTTTCTTGCCTCTGAGCTCCTTGCAGAAACCTCTCTCCTTCCCTTCCTCCTGCTCTGGGCCCAGGAATAGATATACCAAAAATGACTGATATTTGGCTGGGTAACTGAGAGCAGCAGAGACTGAGGTTAGAGAGCCCCGACAAGGGGTGATAGAGGACATGGCCAGACTCCTTCCCTGGGAGCCACAACTCTGAGGCCTCTTCCCTTTGTTCCTTCACCTGCCTTCATTCGCCCTGAGATCCCTGAGGTGTTCCTCTCCTGGTCTCATCATCACAGCACTCCCTCCGTCCCCCACGCTGCTCCTGGGTTATTCTCCCTGCTCAGAGGACAAGGGGTTGGGCAGTGGGAAAGGGGGCCACTGGGTCTTCATGCTGTCTTTGCAGGGGAGTGTTGGGTGGCTTCCCAAGAGGCTCCATGCAAGCTCTGTGGGAACACACTCGAAGACAAGCTTTCTCTGTTCTGGATATGACCATGCTATTACAGCCACTGTCCCTTCCTCCTGGATTGTCACGACATCCCTGAGGGGACCTTGTAATCTATTGTTTGCAAAGGAGAAAAAGGAAAGCTTGGTGGACATTTGTGGAGAGCTATTATTTCTAACAAAGCTGGTTACATCTGTGACAGGACAGAATTATGAATGGCCCGGTCACCAGAGTCAATCCCCAGATCCACTGGCTTCTGACACGGTGAGTGGCCAGAACAGGTCCCACCAGACTACTGGCCTGAGGGAGCCCAGACCCTTTCAACCAGGGCTGGGGCCCAGCACCCCCTGGTGGTGTGCAGCAGTCTCTACCCTTCAAAGGCAATGTCTGGGACCAGCTACCCATTGACTGTCCTTGTTTTGTGAAGTGGAAAACCCAGGCTAGAGGAGGGTGCAGGCTTGCTGAGGTGGAAGGACCTCCATATTTGCCTTTTAAAATGTAGGTTATCTGATTAGGCATCATTGTTCTTGTCACCAGGAATCAAAATTGAGAGGAGCCAATCAGAACACTGATGGTTACCGAGCTTCTTTTTTCCTTCCTATCTTGAGATGATGGGTATGATAAGGTGCATTTTACCTAGATGAAAATAGAAGCTCAGAGAGGCTAAAGGAATTTTGCTGCCAGGCTCACCCAGCTAGCCAATGACAAGAGGTCCAGCTGTTCACCTCTGAGTCTATGATGCCAGATCCCTGGGTTTCACCTCCAGTTTTCCCTGGACCTGAACAACTTCTCCCCTCCCCACTCCACCCTGACATTTCTTGGTGACCTGATCTGGGACAGCAGAATCTCAGAATCTCCTTCTCTGCCCTCAGTGTGGACTCAGCCAGTACTTGTCCTTGGCTTGAGCTGGGGAGGGGTCCAGAGTTGACAAAAGGACACTGAGCAGGAGAAAGACCCAGTGGGGGATAGGCATCAAAGGCAGAAACTGAGACCTAGGCAGCAAGGAGATCTTGAGCAAGTGTCTTCACCTCTGTGGGTCCCTCCATTTCTCAGACAAAGCAGGACATGATAGCAATACTCAGACAGATCCAGTTAGAAAAACAGGTCAAATTTTGGAGATGGATTTTTTTTTTTTCCAAACTTTGCTTCTCCTCAGACTTTCTGTGTGGTTTGGGGCCAATTACTTAATATCTCGGAGCAGATTTCAGTTTCTGAGTCTATAATAGAGATTGTTGTAGGGAGTCAGTTTGGTGACCGAGCTGGGAGCACTTCGGACATTTTGAGACTTTCTAAGTGAGGGTGATTATTAGCACTGCCCTGGGGTGAAACTCTGGGATGGGAGAGGAGATGGGGCTCCAGAAACTGTCACCCCACCCCTCATGTCACATCAGTTCTCATTCTGCAGATTATTTGGAGAAACCAAATGGGTTTCTCCACATCTGGGTCCCCACTCCTGTCCACATTACCTGCGGAGCCCAGGTTCCTTCCCTGTTCTCACCTCATTCTGGCTGCACACTGGAAAGGAGGCCTGAGTTTCCCTCCTTCTTCCCTGGAATCTGGAGCCATGGCCTCAACCTTGCACCCTGAGGGAAGCTGTTTGATCACTTGGGTTCACCTTGGGGAGGCTGCAGGGGGTGTTCCGAGACCTGGGACCATAATCTTTCAGTTGCCCAAGACTCCTAACCTTGTCTTGCCTGAGTCAAGCCTCCTGTGAGTCCCAAAAGGAAGGGGACATCGGGAATGGGGGCCCACAGGAGACATCCATCATGACCCAGTTTCATCTGTTATGCTGCTCGTCTGGCTCGCAGAATGCTGCCCTGGCCCCCTCCTGTCCCTGGCTCCCTGCTGGCGTTGCAGGTACCAGGGAGACAGTGAGAGGAGGGGGTGAGGGCTGGGGAGTGAGACTGAAAAGAGGCGGGGACTCTGGGGGGCTGAGGACTATAAAGGGGCACAGCTGAGAGCAGGGGGACCCATCCAGCTTGAGGCAGGTGACTGCTTCCATTTAAGGCCCCTTGCTCAGGACTCAGGGTAAGTGGGTTCAGTGTGGCCTGGGCTCTGGGAGGCTCCTTGGGTCTCTGGTCTTGGGAAGGAGTTGGTGCTTTCTAGGTGAGGGGCCTTGAGAGACCTAAGGTACTCCTTGGGTGTGCTCTGCATCCGGATAAACCAGCAGAGGAAGGTTAGACCCCAAAGGCTGTTGATTTCTGTCCTTTGCCTCACAAGTTCATTTCATGTCCCCTTGACTTGTGTGTAAGTTGGAGTCTACTTTCTATAAGCAACTCCCCTTGAGTTCCTATCCCATTTATGCATTCTTAGAGCCACCAGGCTCTGTATATCATGTGTGTCCCCTCTACCCCATTTACCCTCATATCCCCGGGACCTTGTCTGCTAAATTTTTTTTTTGCTTTGTTAAGGCCTCTGAGCTCTAGCTACCAAGTTACTCACAGCTGGGGGGAGCAAGAGTCTTTGCTGTCCAGGGCAGTGTCTAGAAAGAGGTCAGTGGTAGGTGCTGGTGACCCATTGTTCTGTCCCTTGTCTCCAAGATTCGCTTTAAGGAATGGGTGATGGCTGGGCAGGCAGGCCCTTCTTCCCATGCATAGCCAGGTCTGCACACTGGCTTCCGTTCTGCCTCCATCTCCCTGACCCTTGCTCTGCAGATGGCTGCTGCACACCGCTGCCTCTCCCTGCTGCTCCTGTCCACCTGTGTGGCTCTGTTGCTGCGGCCGCTGCTGGGTGCCTGGGGAGCGCCATTGGAGCCAGTGTACCCCGGGGACAATGCTACGCCAGAGCAGATGGCCCAGTATGCGGCTGAGCTCCGCAGATATATCAACATGCTGACCAGGCCTAGGTGTGTACTAGAGAATGGGAGAGAGATCCTGGAGCTCAGGGCGCTGGCCACAGCCCTATCCCCATTCCCACCCCTGTCCCCAGCCCCCTCCATGCCTGCGCTTGGGAAACAGCATCTCTGTAGAGCAGGCTTGAGCCATGTCCAGAGTAGGGTGGTGCCTGAGGGGACATCTGAGGCAGGTGAGCTGGCACCTGGCATGGAGCTTGCCCCAGCTGCCCCTTCCCTCCCAGGTATGGGAAAAGAGATAAGGAGGACACTCTGGGCTTCTTGGAATGGGACTTCCCCCATGCAGCTGCCTCCAGGTAGGTTTTGATTCCCTGCCCATCTGCCCAGCTCTCTGGGATAAGTGGAAATGGGGGTGAAAAGGGGCAGGTGAGGGTGATGGTGGGGAAGACGGGGCCCAGAGCAGTCCTCCTGAGGGCACAAGGACTGGCCCCACACTACCAGTTCTGCCCTCTCTTCACAGGGAGCTGAGCCCGATGGACTTGTGATGCCACCTCCCACCTTCTACAGTTCCACGGGCAGTGCCGACCCAGCTCTCCCCTGCACCCTTGGCTCTGGCCACAGATTGCTCCCTGCTCCTACATAGGCTCAATAAAGCAAGTCAATGTCATAGCTTCTTTCTGTGTCTCTGTGGGACCCTGATGGGGACAGGGACATGTGGAGAGCAGGGAGAAGGGGGGAAGGGGCTGTTGTAATGTCCAGACCCACTCAGCTCATCTGCTTCATTTCATAGAGGGAAAAATTGTGGCCCAGAGGGAGGCAGGGACTCCCCTAAGTTCAGTGGCCATCTTTTTTTGATTTTTATTTTTTGTACCAGGGATTGAACACAGGTGCATTTAACCACGGAGCCACACCCCCAACCCTTTTATTTCTTTCTTTATTTTTTTTTAGGTGGACACAATGTCTTTATTTTACTTTATATGGTGCTGAGGATGGAACCCAGTGCCTCACGCATACTAGGCGAGCGCTCTGCCACTGGGCCACAAACCCAGCTCCCATTTTCTTTTTTTAATATATATTTTTATTTAGAGACATGGCCTCACTGAGTTGCTTAGGGCCTCACTGAGTTGCTGAGGCTGGCTTTGAACTCTCCATCCTCCTGTCTTAGCCTCCCAAGCTGCTGGGATTAGGCATGTGACATTGCACCCGGCTGAAGTGGCGGTCTTGAGTGTGAATCTTCCCATTGCCACACCTCTAGACCTTCCTGATCATCAGCCTGATTGAGAGCTAGCCCTGCTTCCCAAAATGTCCCCCCACAGTGTTTTCCTATGATTGTGAAGTAGGTGAAGCACTCATACTAAAGAGTCCTGGGGCCAGGGGCAACAGCCCAGAGAAATGGTGCAGTGTTATGACGGTCGCCAATTGTGTTGAGTGGTCTCACATCTGCTCTCTGGAAATATGAGGGAAATGGGCTGTCCTGAAAGGTTGTGAACTCCCAGGCACCCAGAGGTATTTAAGCTGTCGCAGGAAGGGAGACTGCAGAAGGGATGTGGCCTCCCAGGCTGCATTAGTCAAGAATGCTAGTACCTCCATGAGTCCAATCTGGATTCTAAACTCCAGGCCTGGGCCAGAGGTGGGGTGGGGACCTGGCTCCTATGGCAGGAGTTTCAGTAGTCCACAGTAGCCTGTCCCTTGCCCTTCTCAAGCACCTTGAATAGGTGGGGATGGGTGAGGTGTGTGTGTGTGTGTGTGTGTGTGTGTGTGTGTGTGTGTGTAAAAACGGGAGTGAACAAGCTTGTCCCTTTCCTGGGAGCTCCTGTGGATAAGGGACAGTCATGGAGATTGGGGAAGAGTGAGAGACAGAACTTTTCTGGTTCCCAGAATAGCTTCTCCTGCTTCCTCCACATGCTCAGTCTGAAGGGTGGGAGCCTATGGGTTTGGTGGATGAGTGGTGCACTTTCCTTGGCTTAGCACCTTGCACTGATCCTGTGGCCATGACATAATTGTGTTTCTGTCTAGTTGCATAAGTGACCTAGATGTGGAACTGAGCCCTAAAAGGCAAAGAGCTTCTACAGGATGCAGCTGCTGGGCAAAGGCTTGGCCCAGGCTGATTCTTACATCCAAGGGGTGTTTGGATGGAGGACTGGTATAGGAGAAGACCTCAGTGCAGGGTCTCGCCCCCTCTCTGAAGCCACCTACCTTCCACCAACCTGCCCACAATGCACCTCTGCCAGGAGGGATGTGGCCTCCCAGGGAGGAGGATGAAGAAGTCTGAAGTTCCAGTATTTTCTCTCAGCTAAGGTTCTGAGTGGGGAGATGTGTACACATTTCCTAGAGGCAGGAATTAGGACTCTGTTTGAGACATACCTGGGTGTGATAGGTGGATTGGTGGGAGGGGCCTCTGCCCTTGCCCAGGCCTTTCTGATGGACACAGCCCACAGACCCAAGACAAGTGGGCCATTCTCACATCCAGATCTCAGGGACAGGCCCTGGCCAGGCTCCTTTCCTTCCCTGTCCTTCTCACTGCTGGGGCTGAGGATCCAGGAGGCTGTGCTCTGCTCCCTGAGGGTCAAAGGCATCCATGCTTGTTCTTGTGCCAACACTGTCACCCAGGTTGCCATTCTAAGCTGTCCAGTTCTTGGCAAAAACAGTGTTGGGTCTTGCTGAAGCCCCTGCTTCCTTCCAGGGCTCTCCCTGGGTTTCACCCTGGCAGCGGTGCATTGTGGGCAGGTTGGTGGAAGTTAGGTGGCTTCAGAGAGGGGGCGAGACCCTGCACTGAGGTCTTCTCCTACAGCAGGAACCCCAGTTACCTGGTTTCCCTTTGAAGGTCCTCCCTGCCAGTGCCCAGAGAAGTCACCGAGGAAATACAGATTGTATTTTTTTATTGCTCTCGCTGAGGAGTTGAGGCCCCTCTCACAATGTAAAGTGGTCGGTGGGCGGTGGGCGGTGACATCTGAGCCAGGTGCCTGGAGGTCAAGGCCCATCCTGGAGAAGGAAGTCCCCTGGGCCCTGCTATCTCCCTCCACCCCTGCCCCCAGGAGCTTCCTCTTGCTCTCACCCAAGCTGCCCTTGGTTCCCAGGTCCCCGACGAAGTGCCAGCAGTGCCCCAGCTCCCCTACCTGGGGCCTGGGGACGTGATCGGTGGTCCTACTACCAGGGTGCTCGGCGTCTGGGACTTCGTAGGGCTAGCCGTAGGGAGTTTCGTGGCGTTCGAAGGGGGAGGTTTCGTGGCTTCTATGAGCTTCTTCAGGTTTTTAAACTTTCCCAAGCTAGGGAACAAATCTTTGCAGAGATCATGGGGCCGCGATGTGCGTGGGGTGCCAGGTGTCTCCCTCCCACGCTGCGTACCTCCCTCCCGCCTCTCCCTCCCGCCGCTTCCTCTGCCCGCCTACCTGTCGTTGAAGATCTTCCCAACGTACTTGTTGAAATTCGCCAACCAGTTGAACAACCTGGGCTCCGGGAGGTCCTGCGGTGCCTGCTCCTTGCCTAGAGCGCCCTCGGGAGGTAGCAGCAGCGACAGTAGGCACACCAGCACTACTGCGCACGCGCAACGCTGAGCCTGCAGACCCCGCGGACAGCACCCGGCAGTCACGTGACGGCCCGGCGGGGTTTTGCCCAGCGCAAGGACTCGAAGTTACAGATGCCAGGCGGGATGGGAAAATAGGGGTGCGGGGGCACCCAGACCAAGGAGTGTGTCTGCCTCTGGGACATACACAGGTGTATGTGCGCTTTAAGGGACATCCGGTTGCCCAGGGTGAAAGGTGCACTTCTGGACGTGAACAATGATGCACACGAAACACCGAGATCAAAATGGACAGGGAGACCCGACCTGAGATGGACACGTGGCGTAGAGCCATCGGTCCCTCCCTCACCTCACTGACCTTTCTAGCAGACTCCTTGTTCACCCCCCTCCTCCAGCCTCCTCTGCTTCCTTGCTGTTCCTCAAAAACACGGGACAGAACTGCTGCCTTCCTGATGCTTCTTCAACCAGACAGACATCGGCAGGGCCAATTCCGTTGCCTCCTTCAAGCATCAGCTCAAAATTCACCTTCTGAATGGGTTCCACGCTGACACCCCTATTTATAATTGCAACCCAGCTCCTCTTCTCGCTCTGCTTTTCCCTACTTACTATACTCTGTTTGTTATATTTATTGACTGAGTTCCTTCCCAGCCACACCTTCTGCCTCAATGTTAAATGCCTTGATAGCTGGCCTTTTACCTGTTTTATCTTATTGATGTAGCTCAGGCACATAGAACAGGGCCTGACACTTAGTAGGTGCTCAGTATTGCATGTTAAATGATTATCAGTCCCATACAGCAATGCCAGCCTGGGAATTCTGCCCCCTACAGCCCCCACCATGCCTAGAAAATTCTGCATCTATAACACAAAAGCGCATATACAAATTCAGACTGTGATGCCCATAAATATGATACACACCTACAGAGTCCCTGAGCCTTTCAATGCTCAACCAGGAACTCTTCTCATCCCCACCACCCCAAGCAGGGACAGGAAGCCCTAGCAGCTGTCTTAGTAGCCAGAATGGCTTTCCTCCATCATGCCCTTAGGGGGTCTGGGGAGGGGCCTTTGGTTTTAGTTTCCAGCCCCAATCTCCTGGAGGATACAGTTGACAGGGACCCAGACTTGGCCACCAGACATTACCATGATGCTGGGAAGGTGCAGCGACACAGCAAAGGGTCTCTGGCCAGGACCTATGAGGCTCTTTATAGTCCTTTGGATCCATAACCCCATCCTTCTCAGGCTCCACCTCTGGTTTCGCTTCCTGCTCCAGTGTCATGACCTGGGAATTGGGAACAGAGAGAGGGTGGGGGTGGAAGCACATGGGCTGCTAGCTGTCCTGACCAGGGCACAGTCCCTGCCAGGGACCCAAAAGGGTGGGTGGCAGAGGCGAGGAGGCACTAAGGAGTAGGGTAGCTTTTTGTTCCAAGATCACAGATCCTAGGGAGGAACTGTCTCTGGGTTGCTGGTGGGGTGATTGTCATTTTCCCAGAGGCTATTGGGGTTGGAAGGGAGCTGTGCTGTGAAATGAGACGGCCTTCCCATCCCAAGGGACTCCTTTCCCTGCAGGCCCCCATGTGGGACCCCAGAACCCCTTGCTTCTTCTGGCATGGCCAGTACTGGGGGCAGGGAGATGCAGTTTCCACCTGGGAGGTGGCAGCCCCACTGCCCAGTCTGGTGATTTTCTCAGTCTGCTCAGCCACATTGGAACCTCTGCTGGTGACCTGCTGAGGCTTCTGGAGGGTGGGGGATCTTGGCTGCTTCAATGATGAACCAAGGCTTTAGGGTACTCAAGCCACAGAGCCCTAGCTCTGTGGCCTGGAATGCTCCCTGCCTTTTTTTTTTTTTTTTTTTTTGAGAGAGAGAGAGAGAATTTTTAAATATTTATTTATTTATTTTTTAGTTTTCGGTGACCACAACATCTTTATTTTATTTTTATGTGGTGCTGAGGATCGAACCCAGCACCCCACGCATGCCAGGCGAGTGCACTACCACCTGAGCCACATCCCCAGCCCTGCTCCCTGCCTTTTTAAAAACATTTTTTTAGTTGTCAATGGACTTTAAAATTTTATTTATTTATTTATATGTGGTGCTGAGAATCGAACCTAAAGCCTCAAATATGCTAGTAAGACCTCTACCACTGAGCCACAACCCCAGCCCTGGAATATCCCTTTTATCTGTATAATGTTGTGGCTTTTCTGAGGCAAGTTTGTGAAACATGGGTTGGTTTGTGTGTGTGTGTGTGTGTAGTGCTGGATTGAACCCAGGGGTCTGTGCATGTGAGGCAAGTACTCTACCAACTGAGCTATATCCCCAGCACATGGGTTGACTTTTAGGGGCACAGTAGGAAGATCAGGGTCTTTTGGGTGGGAATCCCAACTTCATCATTTCCTGACTATGTGACTTTGATCAGGGGATATTATCTCCCCTGAACCTACATGTTCTCATCAGTGGAATGCAGCCAGTTATACCTATAGCATGTGACTGATTTAACTACCAGCTCTGATGATGTAACTCAGTCCCTGGACAACTCCTGACATGAAATAGGTTTTTTGTTTGTTTGTTTTAGTACTGGAGATTGAACCCAGCAGCACTTATCCACTGAACCAAATCCCCCGCCATTTTATTTTTTATTTAGAGACAGGGTCTTACTAAATTGCTTAGGACCTTGCTAAGTTGCTGAGGCTGGCTTTGAATTTGTGATTCTCCTGCCTCAGTCTTCCAAACTGCTGGGATTACAAATGTGTGCCACTGTACCTGACTTAATAGGTGATTAACATGTGTGAGCCCCTTTATTCCTGGATTCATACTTCCCCCTCCCCATTCACACTTCTCACACCTTCATCCTCTTATTCAAATCTGTTCTCAGGGATTTATGGGATCTCTCAGTAACCCACTGAGACCAGAACTGCATTTTTCTAAGGAGTCAAGAATCTCCAGAAAAAGAAATGAGATCCTAATAATGAAATTCCTCAGTACAGGGTGGAGGAGATATCTGGGAGTCAGTGTATCCTACATATAACAAATAGTCAATTAGTCACAAACCCAGTGTGGAAATCTGCCCCCATCCCCACTACCACTCATTTCAGAACTGTCAAATTCTGGGTGGGTTAGAGGGGGTGCTCAGCTACTCTCATTCCTGGCCCCCACAAAAGAGAAAATGCTCAATGGGCTGAGCAGGTTGGGGGAAGAGGCTCAAAGGGCAGACACTCAATATCATTAATAACAATAGCTATATGAGCCAGGTGTGGTGGTGCATGCCTGTAATCCCAGAAAGCTGCAGCAGGAGGATTACAAGTTTGAGGCTGGACTCAGCAACTTAGTGAGACACTGTCTCAAAAAAAAATAAATAAATAAAATAAAAAGGGCTGGGGATGTAGTTCAGTGGTAGAGTGCTCCAATACCAGGGGTGTGATGGGGTGTGGACTATGAATACACAGCTATTTGCTAGTAACTGATACTCATTGTAGTTGCTCAGTGCCAGGCCTGGCATTCTGGCAAAACATTCTGTAGCATTATCTCTAGTGTCATTTAAATGACACTTGTAGGCATTATTATCATTTTTTCCACTGAAAGATTTTTTTCTATTGAAAGGTTTAGAGAAGCTAGTTTCTTATCCAAGGTCAGTGGATTCCAACTTTGCATGCTTATACATCCCTGGACAAGTCACTTTCCTTTCCTGAGCACAGTGTCCTTAACTGTGGGAGAACCTACAGCTAGATCAGAAGTTACTGGGAGAAGCTCAAGGGATGTCCCTCAAGGTTTGGATGCTGCCCAAGACATGGGAAATCATGGAGCCCCTAAGTCTCCCTTGCAAAATGCTCCAGGACCTTCAGGAAAATCCCCTCATTTACCTCAGCTGGTTTGAGGTGGATTTTACTTGCTACCCAACCAAACCAAAGTGTATAAACAAATGTCCACTAGTAACTCTCCCATGACTTCCAGGATGAGGTTCAAACATCTTAGTATGTAATTTAAGGTCCTTCACAATGTGACCTCAGCCTACTTTTAAAAATCAACTTTTTTAAGAGAATAATCTACACACAACAATGCCCCCCCCTCATTTTAGCATACAGTTGGATGAGTTTTGACAAATATATAACCACCCATGCAATGAAGACCCAGGACATGTCGGTCACCCCAAGAGGCTGTCTTATGCCCCAGGCAACCACTCATCTGATCTCTCTAAGACCAGTTTTGTCTGTTCTAGAACTTCATATAAACCAAGCCGAAGGGTGTATTCTTTTTTTTTTTTTTTAACTTGGCATGTTTTTGAGATTTGCCCCCTATTATTAGGCATAGCAGCCATCTGTTCCCTTTTACTGCTGAGGAGAGCCCTTTCCTGTGAGGAGGCTCCACAAGTTGTCATTCTCTGTTTTGCACATTGCACTTCAACCTGGTCTCTTTAGTCATGCCTCCTGCTGTTCTTCCTTCATCTTATATGTCTGATCCTTAACTGTTTTTTTTTTTCCCCCCTAGGAATTACACCTGGGGGGCACTCAACCCCCGAGCCACATCCCCAGCCCTTTCTATTTTTATTTTTTTTAATTTATTTTTTAGTTGTAGTTGGACCCAATACCTTTATTTCATTTATTTATTTTTATGTGGTGCTGAGGATTGAACCCAGGGCCCCACACATGCTAGGCAAGGGCTCTACCGCTGAGCCCCAACCCCAGCTCCCTTTTTATATTTTATTTAGAGACAGGTCTCACTAAATTGCTTAGGGCCTTGCTAAATTGCTGAGGCTGGTTTTGAACTCTTGATCCTCCTGCCTCAACTTTCCGATCTGCTGGGATTACAGATGTGCACCACTGCGCCTGGCCCTTCACTTTTTAGACCCAGTGGCCTCCTGAATAGCCCTGCACCTTTGCATCCCTTTGCCTTCCTTTCTACTTGAAACGACCCTCTATGTCTCTGTCTGGCAAAATCTCACTGGGGGAACCAGTTCTGGAAACTATCTTTTGCAAAGATTCCCCAGCACCTTCTTGTCCTCCTCTTGACATCCCGGAGCTCTTGTTCTGCTCAGGTGTCTGAAATGACACTTCTCAGGGATTCGGATAGTGTATATACATGTTTGGCTTCTGTGCCAAACTGAACTCCTGGAGAGGAGAGTGAACAGCATCATATTTATGGTGTCCCACAGACACTGCCCACGACCAGGAATAAAATAACATTTCTGGTGTTTATTGAGCGAGCAAGTCTTGCCTGGAAGTCCAAATAGATACTTCCCTCAGTCTGAGGCCCATCCCAAAGGAGATAGGCCTGGGTTCCATTTCCCATCCCTGGGGTTTCTATGCGACAGACTCAACCCTTTTGTCCCAAGGAGCCCCTTTGATAATTTGGGATAGCCCTAGGGAGGCTGGAGGGACTGTTTGGAAGCTGGGCTACTGTGAATTAGTCTCTTGGTGTCCCTACCTGACCCGCTTTGTCCCACTCTCACTCGAAGGCCAAAGACGAAACTTTTGGCTGAATTCTTCCCAAAGTAGGGTGGATGTGCAGGTATTCTAAAAACAGCTCTCATCTTTGCCAAAGGAAGTAGCCTGGAAATTTTAGACTGGGAGCCCTCAATCCAAATTCAGGAATCATTTGGTATATCTCTATTCCATGGTATTCAGGAAGCATCTGTCCTCCCGGAGGGGATGGACCCTGCTCCAGGCACTGGGGACACGTTAGTAAATATCACAATGTTTTCTTTCTGGGAGCTTCAATTTCATGTGCCCTCATTTTTGGTAAAAATTTTATTGGGATATATTTCACATGTTATACAATTCACCCAGCTAGGTGAACAATGCACTGGTTTCTAGTACATTCTGAGAGCTGTGCAACCATAATCACAATCAACTGTAGAATATTCTGGTCACTCAAAAGGAAGCCTCATACCCTTTATCAGTCTCATTTCCCCTAGTCCTGGGCAACCAGCAATCTACTTTCTGTCTCTATGGACTTGTCTATTCTGAACCAGCCATATAAATGAAATATACAATATGTGGTGTTGGTGACTTTCTTTTTTTTCACTTCACACAATGTTTTCAAGGTCCACCCATGTTGCAGTGATGTTATTATGTAATGTTCATCCTTATGAACACAGAGCATATGTTACTATGTGACATTCGAAGGGCAGTCCAGCTGGGTACCATGGGGCATGCCTGTAATTCCAGTGACTCCAAAGGCTGAGACCGTAGGATTGAAAGTTCAAGTCCAGCCTCAGCAACTTAGTGAGACCCTGTCTCAAAATTAAAAAAAATAAAAAGGGTTGAGTATGCAGCTCAGTGGTAAAGCACCTCTAGGTTCAATCCCCAGCACCAAAAGTGGGAGGGGGAGCAGTTCAGAAGATCACCCCTCACTTCTGTCTGACACCAACTGCAAGTTCAGGAGTCCCCAAGATTACCCTTGATTTTTATAACTTGCTAGAAGGACTCAAAGAACACACAGCAAACTCTTGTAGTAATGGTGATGGTTCCTTACAGCTAAAAGATAAAGCTTAAAATCAACCAAAGGAAAAGGCAGGTGTATCAGACTCCAGGAAATTTGCAAACATGGAGGTTCCAGTTGTCTTCAAGCCATGGAGTTTTGCACAATATGACTTTCTCAGGGGAGGGAGGGCAACCTGTTTCCGGTGCATTGCATTATATCATGGACTAACACAGGGGGCTCTTTTCCCAGCCCTCTTTCTCCTTCCAGATGGGGGTTCCACAGAAAGGGCTATCAACCTCACACCAGACCCCGGAGAAGTAGGAGAGAGTTTGACATTGATAATAAAGATGCCTATGAAAACCCTTTTTGGTGTGTATGAACATAAGCATCTTTCATTATGTGGAAGTTGATCAGCTGTTTTTGAT